AATAGGAACGGCAATTTTAAAAACATTTCAGTAACTGCTGGTAGCATTATGAAAGTATAATATGGTACATTACATTCCTAATGAGGAGTTGAGTCATTAAAAAGTTGAATTATAAAAAATGTTCATGTTCAGTGCACAGTTTAGGATGCTGGGGAAACACATTGCATTTTAGAAAAATTTCTGACCAAATAATGGTGAAAGAAAAAAGTACTTAAAAGAAGCTAACTATGATCAGAAAGGATAGGAATTGAACAACTCTTAAACCTGTAGTAACAGGGTAAGATTCTCACCTTTGTAATTTATTTTTCAGTTCATAAAATATAGTGTACATAATTCATTATACTACCTAAAGAGATTTCTCCCATTTACATAGTACAAATCTGTGAATTTTGTTTTTACTATTTGATTTGTTTTTGTATTTCATTGTTAAAAATTAAAACATTCAAGCCTATGAGTTTTATTTACAGAAGACAATACAAGTATTCTGGATTCTCCAAGATTAAATTATATTCAGTATAATTTTTGGTAAAATGCATTTTATATTTTAAGTTTCTGGGAACTGCTAATTCTTACACAGTGTACATTCATAGTAATTCTCTAATAGAAGGTAAATTTTAATTTAAGATGTACAGACCTTTTTTACTGACTGTTATTTAACAAACCTCCCCTAGGTTTCTAGAACCGGAAGAGTTTTACAATGTCTAAGCACACACTGCTTTTAGAAATGGTTAGAAAACCAGGGGTCCCGGTATTTGTTAAACCGAATCACCTGGCAGTAAAACTCAGTTAAGGCTCTTGGCATCGGTGACACTTCCTCCCACTCGGACCTGCTGCTGTGGTAGACCTGCACCTCATCTGTGATTTCATCGGGTGCGTAGTCACCGCCTAATATGTAAATTTTATCCTCAATTCCAACAGCACCTGCATTAAAGCCTGCACATTCAAAAGATCCCTCACCCTTCCAGACACAAGTATCGGGACAAAAACTATAAACCTTGTAGGTGGAAAGGTCACATATATACAGCGTGCAGTTTACCGGGACAGCTTTGATTAGTGTGGCATGGAAAAACTGCCCGAACTCTGCTACTAACTCAGACCACTGATCAGTTGTAGCGTTGTATCTAAAAAAGCAATCGAGCGATGGGTTAAAGGCATCTGTAATCTCTACCTCTGATCCAAGCACATAAATTACATTTTGGCATGCACTTGCTTCGGGGTAGTAGATGCCCCTGGGTAACGGGCTAACAGACATCCATTCTTTGGAAAGAGGGTTGTAAGATTCAACGTCTAGGAGACTTTTAATGTCCTGAGATCCCGTCGTCTTTCCACCTACGACAAACAATCTATTAAGAGCCATAACCGATGTATGCATGGTTCTGGGTGTTTTCATGGTTGATACTGGGCAGAAATCATTTTTGATTGGACAATAGCACCAGGTTTGATCAGTGGCGTCATGGTATGACTCTGCAATATGAAGCCGAACTGTTCGACAACACGGCCCCTTGCAACCACCTGTCAAGAATATTTTTTCTCCGTAACTTGCCAGACTAGATCCGGGCAAATCAATCAGGTGTGATTGTGGCAGTATTTTCCACGAATCAGTTTTGATATTATAGCAAAATGTATGTTGATTTTCGCCATTTTCCTCAGTTTTGTGAACAAAGATGTATTTTTCAGTTGTGGATGGTCGCGCATCAGGGAAAAGTCCACCAGAACCTTGCACACACTTAATTGCATCCATGACTATGTCAAAACAGTTGGTGTTTTTGAGTAAACACTCTTCACTGAGCAGACAGTCTTGAAGTGTCTCCTCAGGTAATTGATGTAATCTTACTTTTTTAATCAAATAAGGCAGATGCTTTTGCCTTGCTTCTAAGTTATATTTAGTCCAATTCAAGACAACTTTCAGGACAGTTTCTTCTTCAGGAACATCTAATTCATCTGATTCCAGACATTTCTGCACTACTCCAAAATTCATCTCTAAGAAATCATTGGATTTAAATAACAAGGAAAAGTGATGTTGTACAAAGTATAATGCATGATCAAACAAACGGGGAGAGCCATAGCTATCTGATATAGATAATAACTGTAAACAATTGACAATATTAATACTTTTTATTAAGAAGTCACTGCAGGCTTTGGATAGGAAGGGAACTTGAAGAAACGATGACACCTGGAAGAACATTTCCACATTATCATCTGTTATCTTTGTTTTTCCAGTATAGGCATAATCAAGAAAGGCTTTTACTGCTTCGGCGGACAAATTGGTAATGGTAACACTCCCACCATCTCTTTCTTTCATGTTTACTTCAAACATAGCCCTGCAAAAATAAAGAACATAGAGAAGTAAACAGAAATAATCTACTCCATGAAAATTTTCAGTATTACCTTGAAAAGATTTCCTTTACCCTTAAGTTGATTTAAAATATATTTCAAAGCATCGTAATAAATTAGTTTAAAATTTGAATGGATACATACAATACTATTTATCTACAAAACATATGTATTACATAATTCCCATATTGCACAATATTCATTATAACTGAGCTATAGCAACTAATCCAAAGAAGGCTATAAAAAGATTCAAATTTTGTATACTGATTTGATGTTCTTATGTATTATTCATAAAATCTCTCTCTTATGACTTAATTTATTTATTTATGGGTTGGTTAATTAGTACCAACTCTGCAGGAAACAACTAAAATTATTTAAGGTACATAATGCTTCTGCGGTTAGTATTTAAAAGTCTCTTTCAAAATGAATTTTTGATTTGGCAGTACTGAGACCTATGAAAGAAGGAATACAGTGAGATATCAGATGTTGCAAGTGCATCTGTCTGTGTGGGGACATCCACCAAATAAGATAAACACACATCTAAAAGGACACATTTCATACAGCACTTTAGGAAAAAGGGAAAGTGATTTCAAAAAATGAAACAGTAACTAGGTCCCACACCTACGGTCACCTATCTAATAAATGGTAGAGCTGGGATTTAGATTTAGGGCATGCGTATTAAGAGGCCAAGTGCTGCAGCACTGTACTATACAGCTTCCTCTGATGAAGAGGTGACATGAGGATAAGGGAGCAGAACAGAACTACTTGGAAGAAAAACTGGATTGGGATAGAGGGGAAGAAACCGGTGGAACCTGAGAGTGACAGAGCATAAGAACAGTTAGGGCTCCCGGGAAGTATAAAGAAAAATAACAGAAGTTATCTGAGAAAAGAACTGGAAAAAAACCCCAAAAACAGATGAAAACAATCAGTGTAGTTAGGCAAACAGCTAATAAGGGTTGTATTTTTGTCTTAAATTTTACTCTTACATTGTTTGTTTATTAGAGATTTAAACCCTGTTTACTTCAAATAAAAATTGCTTCAAACTTGAACGTAATGTAAAAGGTTGCAATGAGCACTTCGGTTTACTGCAGCGTGACTAGGACGGCTGACGTCCAGGATGCCACCAAGAGGCCTCACAGGGTCATGTGTTTGACCCCAACCCTTGCAGAATTCCCCATGTGAACAGTGGGTTCTTACAGTGCCATGACTAAGACACTCCTTGTAAGATGATCTACATGGGAACCAACCTATATTCAGAAGGCTGCCAAAACTGGAACAAGCTGGGTCCCCTTCAGAAATGCTTCCGGAGGAACTTCTCACTAGTATAGTGAAATCCTCTGGGTTGGAGTCCCTCTCTTCCCGATAATCCATTGATACAATCAATATGTGACTGAAATGTGGTTTCCTCTCAGACTCCTCATTTTCTTTGAACTTGGCTTCCATTTTGGACGAATCTGTTCTTTCCTCTTTTTCTAAAGGACACAGTGCAGGGATCCCCTACATAAAATGACTGCAGATGGAAACAATTTTCCCCTGAACATTTTAGGGGACTAATGTTCTATAAAACATCACAAAAGATAGTCCTAAATTTTCATGCTCAAAAATAATTAGTTAATCTAGGCTCTAATGAGCTCTTTTCAAGAAATAAAAATTATTGTTGCATGCTCCTGTGGATGGAAAGTTGAGGAGAGTTTAAAAAGCTAACTTAATTATCCATATCATAAAATCTGAGGCACACACAAGGTAAAGTACCTGAAAAAGTCACTGCACGCTGCTAACACACAACGATGACATGGGATTATTTCATCTTTCATGATTATTTTGAAATCATAAAAGACATTTTGTTCTCTAAAATTCTGTAGTACACTCAAGATTTTCTGTCCATGATCTTCTGACACAAGTAAGTTGTTTGTTTTCTCAGATGGAATTCCATTACAAGAGCTTCGTTGATTGAAAGCATATGAATTATCCATATCCAATTTCTATTTGTACTTAGAACTGAAATGAAAAAAAAATCACTGAAGTAGAGTCCCAATAAAATTTTCAGATCAAAATTTGCCCTTTTATCAATTATAAAAAATGCTCACTAAGAACAATGACAAAATAGTAATCCTTGTTCTAAACATTTGTTTTCATGACACTTAAACATAAATTCCTTTTAAATTTGTATAAATGTGTTCACTGGAATAAAAAGTATATTATTAAGGGATACAGTTCAAGATATATAAATGTGTTAAGTAGCACAATTTATAAATTGTATAAATCGCTTATATAGAATCTCACTACCCGACTAGTCTTGTTTTATGTAAAAGCCATTATTTATATAGTAATCATCTGGGTATATACCCAACACATCCCTCTCCCCACCCACTCATTTTCTTCTGGTAACAAAGCAGATGTTAAAATATTGATTTTGATTCTGGCACAAATAAGTTGTTTGATTCTGACACAAGTAAGCAGAATTCCCAATGTAAACAGTGGGTTCTTACAGTCATGACCAAGACACTCCTTGCAGCTATATGCCTTTTGACTTTTAAAAGACAACTGATGGGGGGCGGGGGGCGGGGGTGGAATCTGTGTTAAATTGTATTAACTATTTATGGCCTTTGCTAAGAAAGAAAAAGGCAAGCATTGATCCAAGTTGGCTTATTTGAAAGCAGAAAGAAAAAACAAATAACTTTATTTTAAAGGCCTTTTAAACATGAGGTCAGAAATCTTGGATAGTTGAAGGCCAGATAATTGTGACTATCCCAAATTGCAAACTCAGTGCTATGCATGAAAGTTGACACCACCAAAAGCAAGGAAGTAGGAAACAGAAAGAAAAGATGACCAGGAATGAGAGTAGGCAAAGAAATAGAGAACCTCGATTTCTTAGGACATTTCTGTTTTGGTTATCTATTGCTTTGCAAATCACCCCAAAATTTAGTGGCCTAAGACAAAAACTTGTAATCTCTTATGGTTCTGTGGGATTAGCTCAGCCGTGGGCAAACCACGGCCCTCGGGCCGGATCTGGCCCGTTTGAAATGAATAAAACTAAAAAAAAAAAAAAGACCGTACCCTTTTATGTAATGATGTTTACTTTGAATTTATATTAGTTCACACAAACACTCCATCCATGCTTTTGTTCCGGCCCTCCAGTCCAGTTTAAGAACCCATTGTGGCCCTCGAGTCAAAAAGTTTGCCCACCCCTGGATTAGCTGAAGCTTATTGCTTGGAGGTTTTCATATGGTTAGAGGCAGACGGCAGCTCTGGCTGAATCATCTTGTTACTGGGAAGGGGATCTAGCCCTTGGTGGGTCTCCTAGGACCCACCAGTAGTGTGTGGGTTCTTGACTTAGTGCAGGAAAAATTTCACGTGAGTCCAGGTGGCTATGCGGGAACATTTATTAAAGCTGGGACAGTAGAACAAGAAAGGGCTTTGCATGGAAGCAGCAACAGGAGAGCCTAGGCTGGGCTGCCCTAGCTCACTGGGAAGGCAGAGAAAAGGGGGCCTTGGGAACAGGTTCAGGGGTGAGCCTGGGAGGAGCTGCTGCCTATTGCTCCCCTGGTTGGAAGTCTCATGGGGTCCTTTACAGATACGGATACGCATGCCTGTGGGGAATAAGAGAGGGAAGAAGGAAAGGGGATGGCGGGGCTGCTCCCCACAGGGAGTGTGCAAGCTGGGGCCTTTGCCTTGAGGCTTTTCTCTCTCTCCTGTGGGTGGGAATCTTAGTGGAGGTCTCAGGGAAGGGTTTCGGCAGATTATTCATCAGTTTTCTAGGTGTGCTCCTTCAGGGTCATGGTCTCCACTGATTGGTCAGTGTCAGGGCAGGGGGTCCTTAGTCATTGCAGCTGGTCCTACTGTTGCCCACCTGGTTTTCCTGCTTTTCTGGACTTAGAGCTGAAATACAACTGAGGCCTAATGTTATCTCTAGGGAGGTGACTTTCTGTATCTGCAGTCAATTGCTCTGCCAGTTTGTTCAGCTCTCTGTCTATTTCCCTACTCCACTTGTCCTGGCTTACTGGCCTGTCTCAATCCGAAGGCCTGACTGGGTTAGAGGTCCAATATGGCTTCTTCATTCACGTTTCTGATGCTTCAAATGGATTGCTAGAACACATGGGGTTCCCTCTTTGCGATCTCTCCATGTGGATAGCTTATACGTCCATATATGTGGCAGTCTCATGGTATTTGGACTTCTCACCACCAAGCTGGTCCTCCAAGACGGGATGTTTCTAGCCTAGGTGGAAACCAGACACTAGAGAAGTAGTCTGAATGGTCCTACAGCAGTGATCGGCAAACTGCGGCCCCTTGAGTGTGGCTCTTCCACAAAATACCACGTGCAGGTGCGCACGTACAGTGTGATTGAAACTTCGTGGCCACATTCAAGGGGCCAAAGAGCCGAATGTGGCTTGCGTGCCACAGTTTGCCGACCACTGTCCTACAGCATCAAAGCTCCATTTGAGGACTGAGATAATCTACTGCTGTGGACAGTAACCATGAGCCATGTTTAGCTCTTTAAATTAATTAAAAATTTAAAAAAATAGTTTCTTAGTTGCTCTAGTGATATTTTAAGTGATCAGTAGCCATATATACTGGTAATGTGATGGTTACTTTTATGTGTCCAATTCACTATTTGGCTAACTATTATTTGTAGGTGTGTCTGCCAGGGTGTTTCTGGATGAGATTATCATTTGAATCAGTAGACTGAATAAAGCAAACTGCCCTCCTTAATGAGTGGGACTAACCCAATCCACTGAAAGCCTGAAGAAAACAAAAGGTAAGAAAGAATTATTTCTCTCTGCCTGACTGTCTTTGAGTTGGGACAACAGGCTTCTCCTCGAACTAAGACTCAGATAGACAACAACTTTACTATCAGCTCTCCTGGGTCTCCAGCTTGGTGAGTGAGACTTCTCTATCTTCATAAACATGTAAGCCAAATCCTTATAGTAAATCAATCTATCTATCTATCTATCTATCTATCTATCTATCTATCTATCATCTATCCCTCCCTCCCTCCAATTGGTTCATTTCTCTGGAGAACCCTCAACTAAGACATGTGGCTAGTGCCTATTATTTTTCATAGCACAAATCAAGTTTCACTGGATAGCTAATGTACTATATTAAGAATAGTATAGAGGAGAAATGATGATGGCGGCATAGGTAAACACGGGAGTTTGCTGCCTCGAACAACCACTTCAAAAAATACAACTAAAAGACGGCAAGGACATCATCCAGAACCACAGGAAGGCTGGCTGAGTGGAAATTCTACAACTAGAAGGAAAGAGAGAAGCATACCAAGACTCAGAGGAGGCGCAGTGTGGAAGTAAAATACTAAGGTGCGGAGGTGCATGCGGAGAGGGCTGGCGGCTGAGGGCACGGTTGTCGTTTTCAATCGGGAGGGAGTCTCAGGCTCTGAGCTCCAGTTCCGGGCAAGTCTCTGGGGACCCAGACTCATATGGTAGAAGCGGGACTGTCTGGCATCGGTCGGAACTCGAGGGCAGCTTTCTCTCAGAGGGGCTTGCAGCGATTGCCGAGACACTGAGAAGTGGGGCCTCTGAGAGCAGCCATAACTGCTAGCCCCGCCCTGTTGATCCCGTGGGACCCGCCCCACCCAAGCCCTACAGGGAGGCTTTTGCTGGATAGCCTAAGACAGAGGCTAGATTAGCACCTCCCTAGAGATCCAGGAGCCAGTGTACCCAGAGGTCAGAGTGGGACCATCCAGTTTGCAGCTCGGTGGAACCATAAAGGACACACTCAGGGGGCAGACTCAGTGAGCACCAAAGCCCCAATGAAGCAAGTCTTGCCCAGAGGGGTGTCTCCAGCACAGAAGTTCTCCCACTACAGACACAGCTGATTCTCACAGCCAATTGGCCTGGAGGTCAATTCCTCCCAGTGATACCTACAACAATCAAGGCTTAACTACAACAAGACTGTGCACAAAGACCACAAGGGAGTGTCCTCCTCAGGTAATTGGGGAGGCTGAACCACTGGGCCCTAGAGGACACTTAGCACAGAAAACCACTTTATCAACACAGGGAAGCATAAAAAAATGCGGAGACAAAGAAAAAGGACACAAATGACAGAAATGGAGGAAAGCAAACTACTGGATATAGAGTTCAAAACCACACTTTTAAGGTTTTTCAAGGATTTTCTAGAAACTGCCGATAAACTTAATGAGACCTACAAGAAATCTAACAAGACCCTCGAGGTTGTGATAAAGGACCAACTAGAAATTAAGCATACACTGACTGAAATAAAGAATATTATATAGACTCCCAACAGCAGACTAGAGAATCGCAAGAATCAAGTCAACAATTTGAAAAACGAAGAAGCAAAAAACACCCAACTGGAAAAGCAAAATGAAAAAGAATCCAAAAATACGAAGATAGTGTAAGGAGCCTCTGGGACAGCTTCAAGCATACCAACATCCAAATTATAGGGGTGCCAGAAGAAGAGAGAGAGCAAGATATTGAAAACCTATTTGAAGAAATAATGACAGAAAACTTCCCCTACCTGGTGAAAGAAATAGACTTACAAGTCCAGGAAGCGCAGAGAACCCCAAACAAAAGGAATCCAAAGAGGACCACACCAAGACACATCATAATTAAAATGCCAAGAGCAAAAGACAAAGAGAGAATCTTAAAAGCAGCAAGAGAAAGAAAGTCAGTTACCTACAAGGGAGTACCCATATGACTGTCAGCTGATTTCTCAACAGAAACTTTGCAGGCCAGAAGGGAGTGGCAAGAAATATTCAAAGTGATGAA